ACGGCTCGATGGATGCTTCCCTCATTTGCTTCTCATCCATCCCGTTTCCACGCAGCAGGATCCGCTGGCACTATGCTGTAGTAGTAAGACTGTGGTAAAGGCAGTGTGTGCTCCCATCGCCTCACGCTCCCCTTCCTGAGACGGGTTTTGCTGCAAAGCTCAAGCTGGCCTGGGATTTGTATGCAGTCCATGGTCTAAAATTTGCAGTCCCAATCCTCTTGCCTCAGTTTTCCTACTGCTGGGATTATAGACGCAGGCCACCATGCTCAGCTCTCCTGTGCTACATTTAACTGCCAGAGACGAAAAGAACCTGACTTGTCTGATCAATGCCAAAATGTAAATGTACGGAAAAAATGCAAACAGATATACTGAGACGATACGGCACGCAGAGAAAAGTCAACCAGGAATACATAAGTCGGTTAGGTAGTTCAAAGAGTCCTTCATATCAAATCTAATAAATAAATAAATAAATAATAAATAAATAAATAAGAAGCCATTATAGACCAGCAGAAGATGGGGTGACAGAGAGAATGCTGGCAGTAGAAAGACCCACTGAGGCACAGGCTGCCTGAATGGTTTCCCTACAGGCACCCATGGTCAGTAAGGATCAGGGTTACCTGTAGGCTGTGGAAAGGAAATGAAAATGCCTGTCTGAACTGGAACAGTCCTGAGGGGAGGAAGTTAGAGGTTTAACTCTGGCCAGTGGTTTCATTGGCCCACTGACATGGAGAAAAATCCCACAGACCTGGGTGACTGACAGCAGCGACCATCAGTACCAGCAGAGGTTAACAGGTGTGAGCTGCCAGGGTTTTCCTTTCAAGCCTTTTCCGGGGTCACAGCTGAACTGTGCACACGTGAGAGCGCAGGAAGGAGAAGGCTGGGGAAAGGCAGGAACCCAGTGCAGGACGGATCTGTACTCTGTGTGAGCCCGGATGACGTCCCCTCCCAGGTGTGGCTCCCTGCCTGAGCTCCGGGAAGGGGAAAGCTGAAGAACTAGAAGTGTGAGCAGAATAACTCTGCCATGGCTGGCCACATGGTGGCGGCAGAAAGCCACTGACTAGATGAAAGGCATGCTGACCAAAAAAAAAAAAAAAAAAAGTGCCGGAGCACACAAGGCCACATGGTTTAGGACTTGAGAGAAGTTCACAGTTTTGACAAGAAGAGGGATTACGAAGAGAAGGCGAGGATGGGGACATTCAAATGTGGATATGTCCAGTTCAGCCCCTTCTCTAGCTGATGCCTTCTCCTCATACCCTCGGGGCCTTGTCACCTGTGCCATGAAAGCTCTCTTCCAAAGTACCTACTCAAATGTCACCTACAGGATCTACATCTCCTTGGAGCCTGCTATTGCAGCTACATCCTTCCTCCATCCCATCGTCCTCCGTGTCCCTGGGTAGTTTTGTTTTTCTCTACAGCACTCAGCACCAGCTGATATTCTACGTCTACTTACCTAGTAGTTTATTGATTGCTTTTTCCCAACCAGAGTGTAGGCTCCATCAAGCCTAGGCTTGCTGTCTGGCCACTACTGGAGCCCGGTGACTGAAACCACTTTGGTCCATGATATGCATCCCCTAAGTGTCTGTTGGATCAATTCGTCAGTGGCTCTATCCCCAGTTGAGGTATCTTTTTGCTTCCCACGTACATATTCAAATGCCCATTGGACAGCTCCATGAAGCCACGGCAATCCAACCTCCTCTAATGGAACTCATTATCTCCCTGACTTCAGTCGGAATGCTCTGCTCCTCCAGGGTGTCCCTGCTTCAACACGGTACAAACTCCTGTCGACTGTGCAAGCAGAAACAGGAGCCTCCCTTTGACAACTTCTTTCCCTCATTCTAATATATAACCAGTTATACAGTTTTCTGATCGTTTTTCCTGAGTATCCACCAACATGTGGGATTCTGACTTCTCCTTTTTCTCATCTACATTTTCTTTAGGTTACATCTTCCTCTTTGGAGTGCAATGCAAGTTAAGATTCCTGCCTCCTCTCTGGGCATTAGCATGAACTCCCAACACATGGCTGATTTTGTCTTTCCCCTCTTATTGTCCTCAGGGCATGCTAATGGGCTGACCTCTATGACTGAGTTTCTGCTGAATTTTGCTAGCTCTCTTCCTTGCTGTGGGATAATCCTTCTGTACACTGTGAATATATACCACTCTCATTGGCTAATAAAAACTTGACAGGCTGGCAGCCAGGCAAAAAGTATAGGTGGGACAGCCAGACTGAGAATGGTGGGAAGAAGTGCAGAGTCAGAAGAGTCGCCAGCCAGATAGAGAACAAGTCGGACACACAAAATAGGATAGAGGTGAAAGCCACGAGCTTCGGGGCAGCACATAGATGAATGGAAACGGGTTAAGTTGTAAGAGCTAGTTAGTAACAAGCCTGAGCTAAGGGCCGAGCATTTATAACTTATATTAAGTCTCCGAGTCAGTTATTTGGGAAGCAGCTGCGGGACAGGAAAACCCTGCCTACACAGCCTTCCAGGGCTTTTCAGGTGGCATTTCTCAGACTACCCTGCTTTCCCCATCTTCTTCAAGTCCAAGTTCAGACAGTACTCTTTAAAGAAACCCTCCCTGACACAGCAACCACCATGTCCTTTCCTCCCAGTGACCCAACCAGACTACACTGTAACTGTGTACACAGGTAACTGTGCATGTAACTGACAAGCACCTGTCCTCCCTGGAGAGGAAACGTCATACAAGGCTTACCCAGTTCTTGTACATTCAATCCCTTCCTGCTCTCTTCTGTCCTGGAGGACCAAGTGAGCACACGCAGCAAGCTCATCTTCTCTTTATTTGGTCTTTCACCTTTCCAATGACACAATGGGGCAGGCTGGTCACAGGAAAGGTCTGCCCGATGCTTGAGTTTTTCTTTTTTCCTTTTAAAGCCAGTGCCCCTCCCCATGAGAATGCTCATCATGTATCCTCCTATGAGTTATATGGCTAGTTGGTTTAATCTAAAATTCCGTCAAACTCAGACAATGCAAAACAAACGGGAGGGAGTCTCTTACAACCTTGTAAGAGGGCATGATTTAAAAAGGAGGAGTTAATGCCCAATTTTGTGGGTCCAGTTTTCATAATGAGATGCTGATGAAGGAAAACTCAGTGTATTCACTACACAGAGAACGAACATAGGTTGGCTGGGTCAAGGGGATGCTGTATGTAGATTTTCAATGCCTAAGAACATGATTGAGAGTTTATTAATAATATGAATAACAATGTTCTTGTGTTTTGGATGTTCTATAGGAAGTTGGTCATATGGGTATCAATACAGGTGTTATAAGCCAGGAAAGACATAAAGATGTTCCTTAGTAATAAATTCGTGAGTCTGCCTTGTACAGGATAAGCCTAGGGGTGGTTAATAAGTGGAGAGAATGAAGTCAGAGGGATGACATAGGATCAGTAACGAATCAAGACTGCAAATGTCTCAGTGTAGTTCTTTTGGGGGGAGGGCTCCCTTTCTTTTAAAAAGCTACAGAATAATTCAGTGTAGACGACTTTCAAGGTGATAAAACGTGGGAATTTTGCATGAAATAAAAGATGGCGTAAGGCATATATTCCAGCTCATGATGCCAAATGGCAAAACAGGACTTCTAAGCTTTTAATATGATTGTCAGCTGCTGAGGTTCTACCCAGCCCTCTCTGATATGATGCCCAAAATATCCATGTCTACTGGGGAAACCTTCTTCTTAAAAAGAGTGTGTGGGGGATGCTGGAGAGATAGCTCAGTGGTTAAAGGCCCTGGTTGTTCTTCCAGAAGATCTGGGTTCAATTCCCAGCACCCACATGACAGCTCACAGTTGTCTGTAACTCCAGTTCCAGGGGATCTGGCATGCTCACATAGAAATAAATGCAGGCAAAACACCAATGCAAATATAAATAAATCTTTAAAAAAAAAAGGTGTGCGCCCATGTGTGAGTGTGTGTGTGTGTGTGTGTGTGTGTATGCACAAATATGAGTAAGCTACAGTACACTGTGGAGTCAGAGGACAGCCTCAGGTGGTGTTCCCTCTTCCCACCTTGTTTGAGACAGAGTATCTAGGCTTCTCCCTGCAACATGCACCAGGCTGGCTGGCCTGTAAGTTTCTGGGGATTCTCCCAATTTTCCCTCCCATCTCAAGCACTGGGATTTCAGATGGGCGTTACTGTGCTTAGATTTATTTGTGTGCTTTCTAGGTCTTTCACACTTGGCATGGCAAGTGCTTTACACATCGAACCACCTCTCCAACCTACTTCTTAAAATTATCAATATATCAGGCTTTCTTCCAGCAGACTAGGAAGATCAAGAGACACCTTCTACCTCTCTATAGTTGCTAGTACAGGTACCTGCAAATCTAAGGCAGTGACCCTCACAGACTGATAAGTACCCAAAATGAAGGCCAAGACAGGCTATTAAACTCTAATGTTCACTGTGACATTACAGCTCAATGTTATTATTAGCCAACATGTTAAATCATGGACAGAATTACATTTCTGTAATGTCTCATTAACTCTTGCTAGGAATCTTTTTAAAAGATACAAGCAAAATCTATAAGTTTATAAGCTAGGTATTTTGTGGATTTTCACTGCCTTGTGAGAGACAGTTTGCAAATCTCTGTAATGACCTTTAGATGTAGAATTCCTCTCTTATACACTATGAATACGTTTTGTTACCACTAGTTAATAAAGAAGCTACTTTGGCCTATGACAGGGCAGAATATAGCAAGGTGGGAAATCCAAGCAGAGCAAGAAGAGGAAAGAAGGCTGAGTCAGAAAGACATCGTGTAGCTGCCAAAGGAGGACACCCAGAACCTCACTGGTAGGCCACAGTCACATGATGATACACAGATTAATAGAGACGAGCTAACTTAAGATGTAAGAGCTAGTCAGGAATATGCCTACACCATTGGCCAATCAGTGTTGTAATTAACATAGTTTCTGTGTGATTATTCGGGTCTGGGAATCCAGGAAATCACATGCATTCTCTGTTTACAACCCTTCAGTGGTCCCGCGCCAGCCTACCTCCGGTCTGTGGGATACAGTTCCACAGTGACCACGTCGAGGGAATTCCACGCTGAGATGGTCAGCCCATTGTACAGACACAGCATGCCTATCATCATTGATTCACTGGTGCCAAACCACAGGAAGAAGCAGCTGATCCCTGAGAGCACCATGGAGCCACCTGCCAACAGAGGACAAAAGATCAACTATTTCCTGTCATCCCAGTAAAGCAAGGACCTCTGGGTCTTGGAGTGCTCTCAAGCAGACAGTTCCATGGGGAAGCTGTAGACTGGGCTCAATAGGACTTAAGTTCAAGGGTATCCACCTGTTTGGATGTGACATTTACCAAAGGCCATCATTCCTTACTCATCTACTTAAGTGGGAAAATATACACTAGTTACACATAATGAGTGTTTCAGTCTGTAACTCATGGGGGTTGCTCATATGAAATGTAACTAGACACAGTTTTTACTACAGGTCAGTCCTAACGACAAAGGTCTAAGGGATTTCCTATGGACATGCATTCTAAAGGGACAGGGAACAAGATAGGACACAGGTTCTCTCTAGATCACAGGGGCAGCTCTTTTTCTTTCCAAGAATTTATGCACACACCTAGCATGGTTAAACGCCCGATTCTGTCCATCAGCAGAGCAGACACTATATTGCCTGGCAACACTGCCAACGTCCCAAGAAAGTTGACAAAATAAATCCAGTAGGCGCTATAGTCATCATCAAAAGTAATCTGGCATCCCGTCTTGTTGTGAAGAAATGAACAGTTTTGAAATTCACTGTCGATGAACTTATATGGCTCAAAATCTGTAGGAACAACAACAAATAAAATCTATCAAGCTCTTGCCAGTCACAGGTGACAGATCTGGGTGTCAGCAGAAAGCCCACGGAGAGTTCAGCATAGAATCACAGTACTGCCAGCTCCTTGATGATCCCAAGGCTGAGTGAGGCTGGCTTGACTTTTTGTGTCTCCTTGCTGGAGCATGAGAGCTAGTCTGGGACCTCACATTACAAAGTAGCAGTATGGAGCTCTCCATTGTTGGATAAGGAACTGAATTAACTAAAGTTTCAAGTTATCTCCATTCCCTATGGTTGGCCTTTGCCAACCATATTATTGCTTACACCTTTACAATGTTACTTTACATTTACCATGTTACATAAAGACCAATGTCTCTAATAGTAATAAGCCCTATATAATGTGATTATAAAACAATTTGTCTTCAATTATACATAGGCTGACCTACCTCATCACTATCATTTTTAGGGGTTCTGAGGCACACAGAAGGAATAGGACTCTCTTTTGAGTCCTTGAAGCTGCGTTTATAATTTAAGGTCTATGTAAGATAAATTCACAGAAGAATGAAGGTCAGTCTCCAGGGAAGGTCACCAGCATCCATTCTTTGTATCTTATTGTTGTTATTGTTGAACTTATCTCTCCAAGAAGGATTTTACATGTTGCTAGGTTCTGCTAAGGGAGCTCAGGGCAAAACCATCACCTTCCTTGCTGAGTTTACCCTCCACTCCCTCAAAACCGCCGGTCTTATGGGGTCAAATGGGTTAGAATACAACACTCTGCCTTATTCTTATTGGAGTGGGGCAGAACTGGCTCCTGACTGAGCGCCAAAAGGCAGGACTCACAGGGAAGACATTCATTCATCTTCCTTCAGTGTTGGCATGTGATTCTAGACAAACATGGAGGAAAGGGAAGGCATGGGCACTATAGTCACATGGACCAGGGCTCCAAGGTTAGTTGTAACTAAGGTTACTAGGTCATTTACTGTGACCATATCATTTAGCTTTTCTAAGCCTCGGGAATTGGGAAAACCGTCTGAGATTGCGAGTGTCTGATGACCTAGACCGGATTGTCCACTTCCTTTATTTTTTCTGGGAAGTTTCTGAAACTCCATTTCACACTTGGGGCTAAAGCATTCTAAGTTACTGAGCACAGCCACACACTGCTACCTCTGTGAACTGGAGAGCTAGAAAGGTTTACTTAAGCAAGAACCAGATTGCGAAATCAAGATTATCAAAACAAATAAATCCACAGGTTAATTCTTTGCTTTAAGAATTAATTATTCAGACATACACACAAACCGAATATTGTATACACAATAAATAAATAAATATAAAAAACCCCAAAAAACAAAAAACAAAGAATTAATTATTCCCCCGGAGGCTATTTTCTTATTTTGTCAGCTTTGAAGGTAGCCTCTATATTAAATCCAAGAAAGCTAAACAATACTAGCTTGCTTTTGATTCAACCTGCTATGGGAAAATCATTCATTCACGCTCAAATCTCCATTTCTCAAGCTTCTGGCCCCAATGTCACATGATTACGACATTTCTGCCAAGACAGAGGCCCTTTGAAGGCTCCCTGCTGCCGCTGTAAGTAGAGTAAGCTATACATTACCCGTGTTCTCAAAAAGGGTATCAATAAATGTGCAGTTCCTGAAGTAGGTGTTGACTGAGGTCACGTCGTCAAAGGTGCAGGACTTAAACACTGAATCCTTGAAAGTTACAGACTTGAACTTGACTCCGAGGAATCTGTACACACACACAAACACAAATGAATTGGCTTTTATCTACTCGAATTTAAAGCCAAGTCAATGGACTTAGATCTATGGTACTCTGCTATGCCCATCTGTAAGTTATAGAGGGTACCTTGGTTTTCTAGGCATGTTACTTTTGACCTTTTGGTCTTGGGGATATGATTTTTTGGCCATACCATTGTTCAATATTATTTCCTGTCAGGAGAAGCAATGACACTTGAGTTCTTTGGATTTTCACAATGATGGCAAGTCTTGAGAGCTGGAACTGTGGCTCTGGACTGTTGGGTTTTCATCACTATCCTCTCCCCAGATTTTTTTTGAAAAGTCTCCATTGAGACTTGTGAATCTCACTTGAAGATGTGCTAATATCTGAACATCATATTTTTACCTATATTTATATATTATAGCCATAGAGATTAGACCTAGGAACTTGCACATGCTAGACAAGTGTTCTATGACTGAGTTATATCCCTAGCCCTCCAAATTTTTTATAAAGCCCATTTCCTAAGTTTAGAACCTTACAGGGCCAAGCATGGGAGTTCTGCTTCTTCGTGGGAGGGATGGCTGACCAGGGTGAAAAAATGTACACTTATTTCCAGGAGTCTTTTCCTTCTCATAGTCAAAGATATTCCTTGAGCTAAATCAAAATACAAGAGCTCTGCTGAAACATGCAGAACAATGAAATGGGGTCAGATACATTTTTAAGGTACTACAATGGGGACTTTGATAATAGACTCAAAAAAAGGAACTTAATATTGTAAAAGAGCCTATGCATCATTGAAATGGACTCACTGAAGCCACGGATGAGTGTGTATCAGTGAGCCTGATACCTTTCTTAGAGACTCGGTGTATTCCTAGCAAGCCAAGAGAGGGGAATGCTTGTTGCTCCACCCTTAGCAGAGAAGGAGACTAACCCTTGGAGGCATGTGAGCTGACCAAAACCAGCCCACTCCGTGCTGAGTACACTCAAAGTCTATTCGCATCCGCATGCCCAGTTGCATTTCTCAACTGAAAATGTACTGTGGCCTTACAGACTGACCACCTTCCCATTCCCCACTCCAGGAGCCACACTGAAAGCTGTTATGTGTGCTGACGGAGGCTGAAAGGGTTGTGAAGGTGGAAACTCTTAAAATGAGCCTGAATCTGGAAAGGGGAAGCAATTTAAACGTGTGACACACACTGGGCTTTCCAGGTGTGACATTCAAATGGTTGGAGAAGGGAATGGTAAGCCTCTCCCCGCTACCTCACGTTGTCTAGGGACTTAAAGAGGCCTCTGGACTCTCCCACAACAGCCTGCATACAGAAAGGAAGGCTCCCTAGGTATCCGGGCAGGCCACCCAGAGGGTGTTCTGGGTCAGGGTGTAGAGGGTCCCTACTGGGGAACACACAGGGAAGCTGTTTAAAAGCCAGTCAGCAGCAGGAGTTCAAATTTCTTTTGAAAGACAAAAACCTTTTGTCTATCTTCTAAAAGAAATCTTTCAAATTCAAAATATATGTTTGTAAGGTTTTTTTTTTTTTTCATTTGGGGATCCTAAAAGAATCCTCCCTATGTGTGTGCATGCGTGTTTGTGTGCATGAGGGAATGTGGGCATGTGGATGTCACGGTAAGTGTGGAGGATGGAGGAAAACCCCTGGCACTGTTTTAACTCTTCCACCTTATTGGTATAGGTCTTCTTGGTTTTCACTGTACATAGCCCAGGCTAGCTGGCCATTGCGAGTCCAGAAGTTCTTCTGTCTTCATCCCCATCTCTCCAAAAGAATACTGGGATTATAATGTGCGTGCAATAGTGTCTGGCTTTTTTTGTGGATCCATCAGGCTTTCGTGGTAATGACTTTAAACACTGAGTCATCTGCCCCAGCCTGGGGTTTGGACTTCTGAGACAGATTTTGGGGATGGAGCGCAGGCTAGCCTCAACCTCACAGTCTTTCTGCCTCTGCTTTCCAAGAGTTGGGATGACAGGTGTGTGCCATCACATCTGGCTCAAGGATTTTACAGTAGAGTGGTTAAAATTATTAATTATAATATAATCATTACACTGAACATTAACAAATGAGACATCCAGTTTAGAATGTTAAAAAATATTACTAAAATTATGACTGTCTCAGACACAAACACTATTTAAAAATATCCCCTTTTCCATTGTTGTTGTTGTTCTGAAACACCGTATTATGTGGTACATACTATGCTACGAGGGGTGCTGGGCTCAAGCTCATCGCCTCCTGGCTCCCCACCCCCAGGGTTGGGATTACAGGCACCATCGCACCCGCTGTATCTTAGAAATTTCTAATGGCAACATTTTTAAAATCAAATATTTATCCCACAGTCACAGAATTTGATGCTCAAGGTTCTCGGAAATACACATGCAGCCTATCAGTGGTTCAGGTGGGTGACAGGCAGACACTGTGCGGCTCGGGCCGTGAGCAGGTCTCTCCCTGTGGTGTATGTCTCCTAACATGATGGTCCCCATTCATTCGAGTGGTATGCTTTCTTCTTTCAATTTCATAAATTTCATTATTGAAAAACATGTTATAAACAAAGCCATTATATACATGCCTGAAAAGATGATTGGGCTTCTTATTAGATAGCTAATTAGAGTAACGATTTCCCCCCACCATATGGGCAAGTATCCATTATCTAGGCCACAAGCATTTCGCAAGTCTTTTTCATCTCATTGAACAGGATTTTACCTGGGGAAATTTTGATTATCTTGGAATTTTAAAAAATTTCAAAATTCGGCCCGGCGGTGGTGGCGCATGCCTTTAACCCCAGCACTTGGGAGGCAGAAGCAGGTGGATATCTGTGAGTTATAGGCCAGCCTGGTCTATAAGAGCTAGTTCCAGAACAGGCTCCAAAGCTACAGAGAAACCCTGTCTTAAAACCCCAAAAAAGTCATCATTCTAAAAATTAAGACAATTTTCTAAGCATGATGAGCTCCTATGGGTTCATATCAGCGGTTTCTGCTCAGATGATTCAGACATGACCATGGTGCCCTTGTCCATCTGTTTTTCTCTCTGAAAAGATGAAGCAGACTCACGCCCTGAGCTCCTGTCTCACCTAACGCTAAGAAGTAGCCTGGTCCTGTGCTCACCCTCGCTAACCCTCCGCTGTCTTCACAGCCCTTCAGGAAGCAACACAGTTTCAGAAGTGGTTCCGTTGTTGTATTTTATTTAAATTCCAAGAGGCACATGATTGATTCAACGCCAGTTCTGAAGTAGTTTGAAGTAACTGAACTGCATCTCTTGAAAGTAGACTTTCAATGATTAAAATACATCCTCAAGTAACTAACAATGCAATTGAGAACCCCAGAGGTGTTGGTTATTAGTAACTGTACACCACTACAAAGCCAGTGTTTGTGAGTAGCTAGCACATTAAATTATGTCAAAGTTTCCTGACCTGCCATTGTCGTACTCCATGCCAGTGTGGATCTGGTTCTCCATGGTGAAGTTGATGCTGAAGTTTGCATATTTATCCTTTTGCACGTTTTTCGTTAGCAGGGCATATTCGTCAGACTGCAGATGTTTAATGACATCAGGGAACCAAACCGACAATCCATAGTACCTGCAAAGGCAAAGAAACGTGTGTTTGTAACAGTGCACACAAGGCCACATGGGGCTCCTGACATACCAGGGCGGCAGTGGCTTTTAGAAACACTTTCAGCTACGACGGTCACCTTGAAACATTTGAACAAATCATCACACGATAACTGACAGTTCAGAAGTTGGGAGCGTTTACTTGACATGCCTCCCTTCTCCTACCCCCCAGAACTAGGGACGGCACCCACGGCCTCACACATGCCTGGCAAACGCTATCCTACTGAGCTATGCCTCTAACTCTGAGCCTCCCAACCTAGAAATGGAGAATGAAGTCACATGGCTAACCAAGCTGCATAGAATGAGCTCCCAGGATCCCTGCCCAGAACATTCCCTTTTCCCTTCATCACACCTTGCTAACAGTAGGCAGGGGACCTCTGTGTTTGTTGTAGTTTACAGATACTGAGAGAGGGAACCTGTGTGGTTAATACTGGACCCTACCAGGCATTGAGAGAGAGAGAGAGAGAGAGAGAGAGAGAGAGAGAGAGAGAGAGAGAGAGCGCAAGAGAGAGACAGAGAGACAGAGAGAAAAAGACAAAGACACAACTGGGGGTCACAATGTGACAGTTGATTTTTTCCACTGAGAATTTAAATGTCACTTACCCAAAAGACAGGGTGAACCAAACAATCGTAAGCTTTATGGTGTTTTCCCTTACTGGGTAGTTGAAACATCTCATAAACGTCAACCAAATCTGTGAAATATTGGATGGTTAGTGTTCCTACACAGTTACATAGTGGACCCCACTCCCCATCCCTTCTCATATAATTATAAAAGAGCCAAGTTTGCAGAGTTGAATGAATTTTAACTATAATATAAAGTCTTAACATCAATACAGAAGCAAAGGCTGGAATTTTCTTCTTCCCTCCTTCCCTCCCTCCCTCCTTTCTTTCCCCCCTTCCTTCCCCTCCCTCCCTCCCTCCCTCCCTCCCTCCTGTCCTTTCATTTTTCTTGCAGAACTAGAGACTGAACCTCAAATATGTTAGACAAGTGCTCTACCATTGAGCTACATCCCCAAGCCCCCTTTTTAATTTTGAGATAGGTTATCATCAAGCTTCCCAGGCTGGCCTTAAACTAACTAATCTCTCTCTCTCTCTCTC